TGAAATTTAAGAAAAATAAATAAAAATTTGCTTTCATGCGCTCTCCTTCTAAAAAATCAAAATAGCTATAGAACTATTCACACTGGGAACATGGGAAAAGATTCATACATTTCAAAAATATACTATTATAAATCCTTATTGTTATTATTATTATATTTTTCTTGTGACGTTAATCAATGCCATGACGTGAAATCTTATATGGCATGATATCGATACTTATCTTATTTCTAGTTGATAATAATAATAATAGTACTTATCAAATTACATAGTATTTATTATGCTGCAAATCTAGCAAATTTTTTCAAGTATCAATATCAAAATATATTGTGTTTATTTGACATTTTTCTTTAATGAAATCCTCATCAAGTAGTGATTATTTCTGAGGAGGCCTGACAAAAACACACTTTAATTAAAAAAACAAATTAGTTCAAATCAAAATATGTCAACTGCAGTTTTAGGGGGAAGAAAATTTCACATTAGAATCGAATTCACTAATAAATATTTAAACGAAACAAAAATCGTTCCTGTGCAATGCACTTTGCCTATTCAGAATACATTTACATACCGCATTAGGATACGCTCACGATTTGTTACTTTTTCCAAAGTGGCGGCACCGTATTTTCCTATGGGAAATTATTTTTGATTTAATGGCTGAAATGGAAAAAAAAAATGCTACTTGAAACAATGAGATTCCTTCAATTCCTGTTACAAATTTAACTTAAAATATAAACACCAAATCCAATCACTGAAGATGTTTATGACCTAAACATTGAGCCAAAAGGAATTTCTCAAGTGTGTATAGCGAAAGGATTTTCAATAAAGGAAAATTGATATTTTAAATGGAAAAACAAACAACGTACGTGGTGTGGAATAATAATAATTGCAGAAACTTTTAATATAATCCCAAACTTCCAAGCCTTATTTTAAGAAGAATCTTAAATTAGAACCGAGGATAAGGAAAACGTGATTTATCTTCTTAATGTAATGGCAAAGTACACCACTGTGCATGTATAAGATTCTCCTCATATGAAAAACCACTATTTTTTTTCTCGTTCCGAGATGTTCTTGCCGGCCTGCGTAGAAGATGACTATGAAATTCCATTTAGATGGCTATCTTTTACTGCCCAAGACGACCCCTTGATGTTGTTTAAATAATTTATTAGCGTCTCTGATGTAAAAGAATTTGTATGTTGTTAGGTTTTTATAATCCTCGAAGGGCATGATTTGATTTGTGATTATTGGGTTTTTTTTCAGGCCTATTAAGCCTGTATTACATCTGTGTGTGTATTTCTTCATGGAGTTCTGGGAGCCAAAATTATTTTGTTTTTCATAATGCTGATTTAATGTTGTGTTTGAAGTTTTTTGGTTGTCACTCTGAACTATATGAAGAAATTCATGGAAAAATACACAGATGTAATACGGGCTTAAACAAAAAATATCTTATAAAACTCCTTGTGGACCCATATTTAACCCACCCTATATTTCTCATAATTACCGAGATCCCTATACTAATTCCTAAATTTATAACACTAGTTGTATAGTTGGACCATGAAATAATAAACAATGGCCTTAGATCAAAATAGATTTCAAACTTCAAATCAAAGTAAATTATTGTCAACAAATTACTATGAATTATGAATTTAGAAAACAATACTAATTTCTTTATGAATAAGTCATTAGTGGTTTTGGACGTCAAAACATCAAAACTGCATTAGCGCAATAATAATTGGTAGTCAGTTGACGTTTGTAGGTTGTTAAACTTTTTACAATCACTAAAATTTTGGACCCACCCAGAAGTCAGCTTTTCTTAAAGACCCAGTGACATGTAAAACCAGTTAAACTTTAATCCTGACACACCTTTTACAAAATCAATTTCCCCATAATTACGCTATCAAGAGCCTCATTAAGGAACGTTGTATTTGCTCGAACCCACGATTTTTGTACCTTAATGCACGTTTTATCGTCGAGTGGTACTAAAAGGAGACGATGATGGGTACCGATAAAGAATTGCGTTTAGTCGAAAATAAACGTGCCTCACCTGCGAGGAGATTCGTATAAAGCCAAAAATAACATCAAAATTTGTTCTGCTACTATCGCTTAACGTTTCCGGAAACGAGAATGTTACATACTAAATGTTGATGGCATTATAATTCCGAATAATAATCGAATTAATGAATCCCTGGATTCTTTAAATTGAAAATTCATACATAAAAGGCGAATAAACTCAGAACAATACGATACTTTTTAGAAAGTCAATGTTTGATCATTAACAGTTAAGTTCCAAAAAAATTTCCTTGTTCTTATTTATTTTTGTTTTGGAAAATGTATTAATTCCAAATAGAAGGAATCTTGGAAACTATACTCTATTTGAAAATGCTAGATAATAATCAATTTATTCCTAACTATTAATATGATGGCCTTGTATACCTCAACCCTGTAAAATTGAATAAAACACAATACATTATTGATTTACCAGTCAAATGGCTTCAATGGTATAGGGTGTCAAGTTATAAAGTACCACCACTTGTAACTTTTTTATTTTTGATTGTACCTTACAGGTGGTGGTATTGGTGGAGAATGATTTATTACTCCCTCTCTTTAACAAATGGAGTATAGATGTGATATTTCTAGCAAATGTTACCTTTCTAATTATCCTTCGTTTTCCTATTCATATTTCACTATGCTGTTCTATTCCTGTAGATTAGAAAAAAAGAAAACATTAACCAGTCGCCTTAGGTAAAATATGACTTCATTAAAAGCCAGATAAGTAGATTTTTTCTCTTTGAAACTTTTAAAAATAGTTTTCGAAATATTTCGTTTGAATGTATATTGTGAGCAGAATTTTTTGAATATCTACTTGAAAGCATTTTTCTTGTTAATTGTTTACTGACATTCCTGGAATTGTTGCGGGGAGACACCAAAAATGTGGTGTTAAATGAATTATTTTATGTACAGAGTGTTCCTTTTAAATTCGTCCCTCTTAAATTGGACAATTTTTGACAAATGTAAATGTCAAATTTGATAGATCGACGTCCAGTGAGTTTGTAAAAACATCAATTTCTGTCAAATCTTATTATTTTGAGGATAAAACCATAACATCAATCATCTTTTCAGCCTAAGAAAAGTTCTCTTATACCGGGTGGGGCATGAAAAACTTTCCACCCAGGTTTTCTCAGGTGTTAGGCTTAGACACGTCAATTTTTGTTTTTTGGGAGACACATTTTATTGGTATTTTCACCCCCTACCTGTCAACCCCTAAGTGGGGGTGACAAGTACCCACAAAATTTCAAATGAAAAGGGGCGTCGAGTGATACGTCGTTTGATAGCTATTTTCATTAAGACTATTTCACTAGAGTGTTTTACACTGACAAAATGTCATAGGAATGGCCGGTTTCCTACTGACAAAACTCCTACCTGGACAAAACCAACATGATGGTTTTTCAGCGACAAAATTTTGTGTGGTTAATGTAAAAAACTATTGAGTTTGAAAAGTGTCACCTAAAGAAAATAAATTTTCCAAATGACAATTTGGCTTGTTTTTCTCGTGAAGTAGTCCAGCCGAATATCACTCGAGAAAAAATTATGTAGGCAAAATTATTCTCTTGGTTTTATTCAAGTTTGTTGCTTTTTGGTAATTTCGCGAATGACATTTTTGACAAAACCACGAGCCGACAGGCGTTCGCGAAATTGCAAGCAACAAACTTTCATACCAGTCGAAAATTTTGCCAACAAAATTGAATATATGATTATATCCTTGAAGTTTCAAGTTGCTTATTATTTACCCTGTCGAAATGGCGGCTTGTCAAAGTTAGGAAAAATCAATGGAAAAATGCTATGTGGTTTTTACCTGTTACCTACGCATAAGTGTGACAGGTAAAAACTATACAGTTTAGATAATCGAAAAAAAGCATTTATCCTAGCTTTGACATGCCGTCATTTCGGCAGCAACTTAAAACTTCAGGGATATAAACTCAATGAAAATAGCTATTAAATGACATATAACTCGACCCCTCTTTCCATTTGAAATTTTGGGGGTACCTGTTACCCCCACTTAGGAGTTCAGAGGTAGGGTGTGAAAATACCAATAAAATGTGTCCCCCAAAAAACAAAAATTGACGGTCTGAGCGATTTTTGATTAAACACCTAACAGCTGAAAAAACCTGGGTGGAAAGTTTTTCGTGCCCCACCCTGTATGTAAATTAAAACAGAAACTATAAAAATATTTGCAGGAGGATGAATTGGAATCTGGTTTTCCAGACTTAAACTTAAAATAGCAATAATTCTCCAACATGGTTCTACTGTCAATCAATTCCAGTTTCCAGAAAAATTCCCAAAAAATCGTTGAATCATTAATAAAAAACTTGCAACTTAAGACACCCTGTATGCTTACTAAACATTTTATAAAATCGCTGAAACATTTTGGCTTCACGCCCATTAGTTTACCGTATACCTCAGGCGATAATTTCCTACCAATCGTTTGCGCTCATTTGTTCATGCGACATTTATTTGTATTTTTGTTCATTAAACTTCGATCGTGTTATTCTACTTAAAGGAATCTCACGTACGATTTTTTGCATCAAATCATTGATTATAAGCAATTTCCGGCCATTCATTGAAATCCAATGCCACTCGGCCAAATTGGCATTGGGCAATTTCTATTTGTTTCGTTTTTCGGGTTATTGCCGTCAAGGGAAATATGGCAGAGTCATTTTTAGGGGTGCAATCAATCTTGATAAAAATATCTCTGGCGCCAGACTTTTCTTATCAAAATCTGTTTCGTAAATGGGGTTCAGAAGTTACTTGTCAACACAGTTCTTATAATATGGAAAGTTTGATGAAGAAAAATCTCAAACTTTTTGAAACTTGTATGTAAGTAAAGGTAATCCTCTCTGCAGGTAAAGGGGGCTTAAAAGTTTTTAATAAGGAAACTTTTTTGAAATATTACCTGAAAAAGTTTTCTCATTTTGTAACAATGTTAACAATTTTTTCTTTGATTCCAGGTGTATTAGAAGCTATTCAAACCGATCTACAAGTCAACAATGACAAAGGCGGCCTTCTACAAACAGCCTTTATCGTTTTCTACATGGCATTTGGGCCATTATTTGGCTATTTGGGTGATAGATACAGCCGGAGGTGGTTGATGGCCTTTGGTGTAGCCCTATGGAGTATTACAACTTTGTGTGGCTCTTTTATGACTGTGAGTTTTGTTTAATTTGGGAATTGTAGTATATTGTAATATTTTTCTTTTGTAGAATTATTGGTGGTTTTTGCTGTTCAGAGCGATGGTGGGAATCGGCGAAGCCAGCTATTCTACGATAGCGCCGACGATATTGAGCGATTTGTTTGTAGGCAATGTCAGATCGAAGATGTTGGCATTGTTTTACTTTGCCATACCCGTTGGAAGGTAAGAATATAAGTATTCGATTCTCTATAAATCTGTGCTAAATTGAGCTTGATAGCTTGAATACTTTTTGAGCAATTTAGCCTCAAAGTGGGATTTAAGTCAGAAACTTCAAATTAATTTTCCTAAAAATTATAAACCTTGAAATGTTTTCCAATGCAGGTTTTTTAAAGCTTAATAGGAACTACAAATTCCTGGAAATTTTGATTCAATATCTCTCACGGACTTCAGGATATTGAATGCTCTCACGTTCCAGTCAGCTGTCTATGCTAGCGACCAGGTTACCAAGACCCAGCTCTATGGACTTTCCTACCTGATAGGCATACTAAGAGGGTTAGTCCTGAGCGCCTCCCTCTTAATCCACTCATTCAACCACCTTTTTTAAAATTTTCAAGAGGAACAGACTTATTGGTTTGAGTGATTGGGGTGTGGGTTCTTTGCGCTTTACTTTAGGGATATACACTCTATTTTTTCCCAAGATAGATTTTGACATTGTCAACTTTGAAACATAAACAATGCCGCTAATGCCGCTTATTGGTCGCAAAATGCCATTTGCACGACATGTGTTGTAAAACTGATGTCAACCTGCAAGGACACCTCATTTTGCGACCAATTATGGCTAAGTTTTATTGTTTATGTTTCCAAGTTTTCAATGTCAAAATCTATCTTGGGAAAAAATAGACTGTATATCACCTTGGGAGCTGTCTAACTTGATAGTATATGGTTCCAAACGAAGTTTCACACTAAACTGGCTCTGAAGAGTCTTATTCCTCAGACGGTTTGAAAGGGTAAAATGATAACAGACTTCTTGGGAAGTGGTTCTCTGCGAGAAACCATCTTTTCAACAAAAATAGTTGATATAAAACAAATCTCAGTATAAAAATTGTCCCAAAGCAATCTTAAAGTGTCTATTTAACTTAGAAAAACAACCTAAATTGGAGCTAATTAATAGTCACAGATACAGATTTCTTTGAAAATGAATTATTGGTTAAAAAATTACAAAAGTGATGTTCAAAATGACTGTGAATTATTCACTCATAACAATAGAGGATTTGCAGGACAAGCCATGACCAAAAATTAAGTTTTACTTTGAAAAATCACAAATCGTCAAATTGTAAAAACAAACAAACCGTAAACCGTTTTGGAGTGTTTACAACTTAGCGGCAAACCCAGAAACAGGAAATTCGCCTCGAGACACTTAAAACATTTAAGTTTTGATTTAAGACTTCGCCGCCGCCATTTATCAAACATACCTATGATTTAGTGCTTCATAACTGTTTTTCAAAAACATCAAAGACCAAATTAAATTAACACAAAAAGTATCTTGTTTAGTTTTTTTTTTTTTTTTAAACGTCTCAATCTCTCAAAATAAACATTTTCCGTTTCGTTTTAGTGGTTTAGGTTACATAGTGGGAGCTAAAACAGCTCAATGGCTGGGTTCCTGGCACTGGGCCCTTAGAGTGACGCCAGTATTGGGCGTCGTTGCTGTAATCGCCATAATAATATTCCTGCACGAGCCCGAAAGGGGCGCCAGCGAAGGTAGCACCCACATGGAAACCACTTCGTGGACCAAAGATATTGGTGACATTGTTAAGAAGTAAGTTTTAGATTCTTGTTTGTTAAACAATAATTTTAATTTTTGTTTTTCTAGTAAAAGTTTTATGTTGTCAACTGCCGGGTTTACTTGCGTGGCCTTTGTAGCTGGAGCTTTGGCTTGGTGGGGTCCCAAGTTTATTGAAAAAGGTGTCGTGCTACAATCCACTACTCCTGTGGATATTGATGAATCAAAGTAAGTATATATAAATTTAACTTTAAGTATTTTCCAAAGAGTTTAAAGTCAATCTCACAATACAAAAATTAACATCAAAGTATTCAGAGTTTTTGAAACAACTTTCAAAGTGCCTTGAAGTGAACCTTCACAAATTCTACAAAGAAAAGTTTTTGCAGAAGTCTTTTTAAAATATTTTAAAATTCACCAGATATATATATTATACTCTTTTCTATCATCACAACTAAGAGTTGAAATTTTGTTTGAACCATTATATACAGGGTGTTTGGATATTCGACTGACAACCCTTGACAGGTGTTCTCGCATTTCTATAAAAATTAAGATAGGAACGTGCAGCCTTGAAGTGCTTAATTTTCAAGAAACAAGATGTCAACGTTCCATTTTCTATTTTCGATTTTTGTCAATTATTCCTCAATAAAACGACACAGCGATCCGGAGTTACGTATTGCTGTGTGGAAATTTCATCATTCCATTACTAAGGTACAGATCGTTTCATGATGCACGTTTTTGACGTCATTGATTTGTTTCAGTCAATTTCTATTTGTTAAAAAAGGAAGGCAAACGGTATGAATCCTCGTGAAACAAGGTACTTATTATATATTAGTAGAGGATTACAATCCCTGAAAATTTAAACGCATTTGGACTTGTAGTTCCTGAGATAAAATCTTGTTAAGGAATTTGGGGTGATTTATCAATTTTTCTGAGTGCCTTTTTTCATAGATTCTGGCTTCAAATCTTAGAATAATTTTGTGTATGGAGTTTGGGGTATGTTGATTGACCATTAGGATACAAAATCTCAACAAGAAAAAAATTGAAATTTCAACGTTTTAGTAAGAAGGTAACTCTTATGATTCAGATTTTGGAAAACTTTGAGAAGTCATAACTTTTTTTTTCCTATTTCCGATTCTTATCCCAGTAGATAACTACAATTTCTGAAAATTTCAGCTCATTCGGACTCATAGTTCCTGAGATAAAATTGTGTTAGGCAATTTGGGGTGATTTATCAATTTTTCTGAGTGTCTTTTTTCATAGATTTCGGCTTCAAATTTGAAAATAATTTAGTGTATGAAGTTTGGGCGATCCCAAATGACCATTAGAACACACTATTTCAACAATGATTTATATTTTGGAAAACTTTGGAAGGTCATAATTCTTTTTTCTATTAAAAATATAAAGGTGAAATTTTCAACGATTCTTATTCCAGTAGAGGACTACAATCCCTGAAAATTTCATCACATTTGGACTTATAGTTCCTGAGATAAAATCGTGTTAAGCAACATTTATCAATTTTTCAATTTTTCTGGTATTTTCTGAGGTATCATTAAACACTTTATTATAATATTTTCTAATTTTTTTTCTAGTATATCACTCAAATTTGGTGTAGTAGCAATGGTATCGGGCCTCATAGGTGTTCCATTGGGTTCCATGCTGACCCAAAAATTGCGGCACCGTTTCAAAAGAATCGACGCTTACATTTGCGGAATGGGGCTGATTCTATCATGCCCCTTCGTTTTTCTTGCCATTTATTTCGCCCGATATTCGACCACCATCTGCTTCGTCATGGTATTTTTCGGAGAACTGTTTCTGAATCTCACTTGGTCCATTGTTGCCGATATTTTGTTGGTAGGTTATCAAAATTTTTGGTTGAAAATAGATAATAGCAATTTTTTTTTAGTATGTTATCATGCCTATAAGACGATCAACAGCTGAAGGATTCCAATTGTTAGTTTCCCATGCTTTGGGCGACGCTGGCAGCCCCTATTTAATTGGAGTTGTAAGTACATATTCACTTTTAATTAATTGATAACAATTTTCTCTTTTATTTCAGTTATCTGAAGCTTTTCTTCTAATGCTCAACAAACAAACAGAAAGCAGTACAAATTCAACAAATTCCACTACAAGTGCGACACCGTCAGATGCAGCCCTAAACGAATTCAAATCCCTTCAGTATGCCCTTTTTACAACTTGTTTTGTAGAAGTCATTGGAGGCTTGTTCTTTTTGCTCAACGCCCTCTATATTGTCGAAGATAAGGAAAAAGTTGATAGAGCGATAAATGGTAAGTAATTTCAATTAAGTAAAAAAAATTGTAGTTGTCCTTTTTTTTTGGCTTTGTATATAATCCTGGCAGCTTTTTAGTAAAAGAATTGTATTTTTTCTTACAGCTAATTTTGGATTTTAGATTCAGACAATAATAAGGAAGCTGTATATTTGCTAAGCAAGAGCGCCAGAACTTATTCTAATTATTAAGACTTAAAAATCCCCAATAAATATATATTTTGTTTATTTATTTATTGATGGGCTAAATTTTTACAAGCGATTATTTTTTTTTGTTTCTTAGCCGAAAATAGTCGACCCCCTCATACGGAACTGATTGATCCTCTGGCTCAAGCTCAGAATTTGTAAAAAAAAAACCCAGACACGTATGTTTTTTTACTATCACACACTATTTTTTGGGTCTGACATTGTTGTTTTTATTAAAATACACTCGAAGGTTTTGGTTTGGCTTTTCTAGAGTCTATAGAATTGTACTTTTCAATAATTATTATATAGAAAGTTTGTTCTCACAACTAATAAAGATTTTATATGTTAACTCCTAACAACTTAACAACAGTGAGAAATAGCCTACAGCAACATTTACAGCAAGTAACCAAGTCCAATGACTATTGAGAAGTTTTATGAGGTATTGACTATAGCAATAACCACCTAGATTCCAAAAAGACCTCAAAAAATAAATACACAAAAACCATGGCTGACCAGGGAAGTCTGAAACAAGATTATTGACATACAAAAGTAACAAATCAGAAGTAAGCTACCAAAAATACCAGCAACAAAGCAAAATTTACACTAAAGAAATGAGAAATTTAAGAAAAAATTAGGTGATTTTTTTGTTCCACGTACTCCAAGTTTTTGAATATTTCTTCATTATTTAATGAGAAGAAAATTAGGATTCGAGAGCCTGGAAAAGTCAACGATTTACAATAAATCAAATCAAAATGTAAATTTCTTATAAAAGAGAAATCGAAACAAATCTTAAATGTGAGAACAAACCTTTTAGAAATCTGAAAATAATAAAGTTGCCACTATTCTATAAACTCTAGTCAAATTCCAGGGAAAAAACAAACACTTGACTCTCTTCCACAACTTGGTTTACACACTGTATCGTGCATATTTCAATTACAACTAAAATTCTTCAAAAAATAATCATTTGCCCATTTATTTCAGCAATTTTTTACTTCTATATGTTGGTGGAGGTCTTTTTTGGTGAAAGGAATGCTTAAAATAACACTTGCCATTGTGTCTCTAACATAATATTACAAAATCCAATTTATTTTTCCAGGCAATTCGGAATCGCTATTGATCAACGAGGATCAGCAGCAATCGTAATTATTATAGTATAAGAGTCAATGTTGCTACAAGATATTTTTGTTGAGAATTAAGCCCTTTGAGGCTCTAAATGGTGTCGAGTGAACAATTTTATTGAGCTTTTAGGCAATAGTGTATATGTATATAGTGAATAATTTTATTTTTGTGTGTGTGTGTGTGTAAACGATTTTTTTTTATATTTATTTATTGTTTCAATCGTTAAGTCACACTGCCATTTGTATATAGGGTTGCAATATTTTTTTTTTAGGCCAGTCCCAGTACTTATCAGTATTTGTATTGATAACTTTGTAGTTTTATATAGAAAAATGTACCACCCTAATTTTTTGCCCAACAATTGGGTGGTTCACCCTATAATTAAGCAAAAGACTGATCTTATTACCCTGTTGAAGTGTAATATTATTATAAATCCATTTAATTTGTTTTAAATTACATTTTGTTTATTGGTACTTTATTTGTATGAAAATAAAATGAAATAATTCCTAGGTTTTTTTGTTTTTTTTTTTTGCCTCTCTACAAAATTAAACAACTTCAATAAAGAGGGAAATTTTTATTAGAAAAGTAGAAAAATGTGTTGCAAATATACAAGTACAAAAGACACTATAAAAAAAAAAATAAACAGCTCCTAACAATATTATACAGGGTGTATACCCTATAGTCTTAAACTTTATATCACATAGTTATTTTGATAATCTACTCTTAACAAAAACAACTTTTTTGCTTATTTCATATCGACATAATTAGTCTGAAAAAAATACTATAAACTTATAAGCAAAAAAGGGTCAGGTAACACAAAATTCTATATCTAAATGTGAGGTAAAGAAGCAATCGCATGCTAGAGTAGGGACTTTTAAACCAAAAACAAAACACCCTTCTGGAATGATTTGAAAATCCTTTTTTTTTTTTCAGGCAAAAATTTAAAGTGTTCCATAATTTTAGAACGTAATTTTTAACCCTCAGGAATCAGGAACAAGATGAAATTGGAAAAAAAATGGTCATACAACAAACAAATAAACATACAAACATAAAAATGGCACAATGTGCAAACAAACCTAAATATAACTAAAACGAGATTCTTTCTTATACAAAATGTTATATAAAATTATTGTACCTGCTCTAAAAAACAGAGGGTAGGAGTGCAACTCAGCTCGCTGCTGTTGGTCAAAGTATGATCATGGTCAGAGTCGTCTGAGGACGAGTGAGATCGGACGATTTGGCTATTGGAAAATCTAAATTTTTTCGGTTCGGGTTCCAAAGAAAACGCGGCCATCGGGTTTTCCAAGCCTTGTTGTTCTAGAAGTTGGCTGACTCTGTGTTTTACACCGTGGTCCTAGAAGAACATACATCAACTTTGATATTTTTGTTTGGAATTTATCTAAAACTGTTGATACTAAATTAAAATCTTGATTAATAGGTTTGTAGATTATAGAGAATTTAATTGGTTTTAATTAGAGTCTAATTACATTGAAATTGAATGAAACTTAAAGAATCTGTGAAGCAAAAACTGTCTCAGTGTCATTTTTGGAAAATTTTCACTGTTCGATAAGTTCAATTCCACAAATTTTGAAGTTTCAGAAGGTGCAAAAGTATTGGAGCTAAATTAAAATCTTGATTCGTAGGTTTGTAGAGAATTGATGTCCTTGATGTGCCAATTACCACAAGTTTTACCTTTACTATCCTCGAAATCATAACACCAAGGATTGGTTTTCTTTGCAAAAGTGAAAGGACCAACGTAAACAGGGGCTAGTTTCTTGGTAAAATATTTGGACTTATCCGACAACATTCATCATTGAACCGACAGGGGGTTTTTGTTCTGGCTTTATAGCCATACAAATAATACGACAATATGTTTTACAAACCTAGCCACATCATTGCATAATTTGGGTTAATAATATTTACAAACCTAGCCCCATCATATTACAGATAGTTACCAGCAAGTTTATCTCAAGATGAATAAACTGGGCCTAAGATAAAGAACATTGGATGTAAGAGAATACAATTTTATTACAGAAACGGATCTGCGAAAAAGTTGTCTGATTCCAAATTCCAACAAATATCCCAAGCAGCAAAGGTTAGTTGTTATGAGGTTGATTTTGAATAGATTTACGTCGTCGTCACGTAGTGAACGTTTATTTGATCATGAGATGAACCAAGAGGTTCATGTAAAACCCAAAATGACCCATTCAGAATAAATACCCTGTATTAAGACGTCCATGGAAGGATTTGTTTATCTCAATATTATTATACCTAATTGATGAAACATCACTGAAGTACGAAAAAAAGGGACCAGGGTAAGGTAAACAAGCTATTGTACCTTTCTTTTCTTATCTATTTTTATATTCGTCATTCGACAGTAGACTATTGTGAAGGTATAAGCTATGATCTCAACTGCCCTTCAAATCAGAATTTTGGTAAGCGACTTCTAGTCGAGCATATTTGGTATTAGACTTTAAGCCTTTAGCTGTAGGTATTTTCAATAACTCCCTCTTAACAATTGAAGTTGCGCCTCACTGATATCCAGCACAACAAATCCTGGTTTGATTATTTCTTTTCGGGAAGCCGTCCAACATAATAGGTTAGGATCCCATTTGTTGCACGATTATACTATTTAAGGAAAGTGTAGCAGTGGGGCACTACCGAATATTAGCGAGAAATGGTTGAATTATGATTTGATGTTGGATGTCAGCTGCAACTCTGCCAGGCAAAATTGTTTTTGTCTTTTCCAAATGAAGAGTCAAGTGATCATGTTTTATATTGTAGCTATGAAATGGTCACGCCTCTAAGGAGGTATCACACTTCATTTGTTAAACTTTCAAATGAAAAAACCACTCACATATTTTATCCAATCGTGGTCAACTATTTGCGAAATCCCAAAACGATTTTTAGGGTTTAATACTAAAATTTTGGTCAACAAATCTTTCACTGGAACCATATCTTCATCTTGCCAAATGGGACGGTGAAAACCATAATTACCCTTGAGAATATTCTTGGTCAATTCAGATTCATTTTTTCCTCTGAAATTGGAATTTTTAGCAACTAATTATTAAAAAACAAAAATCACTTACTGAAAAGGAAAATCTTGCGAAATCATAAAATAAAGAATAACACCCAAACTCCAAATATCAGCCTCTTTACTGTACTTCCTTTGTTTGGGATTGATAACTTCAGGCGCGGCAAACCTGTAAGTGCCACATTTGGTCATTACAGACCCTTCGGCAAATTTGCTCAAACCAAAATCGGTAATTTTCAATAAAGTTTCTTCTCGTTCATCAAGTAGCAGAATATTTTCGGGCTTCAAATCCCTATGAATGACATTAAGAGAATGCAAATAGTTTGTAGCCAAAAGTATTTGTACGAAATAAAATTTGGCTGTGTCCAAGGACATTGGACTGCGATGAATTCTAGAAGTCAATTCGCCTCCAGCCATGTATTCTAGTATAAGGTAGACTTCTTTATCCACTGAGTGGATGTCCAACATACCAATTATCAAAGGCTAAAAAACATTATGTATATAAGAAACTAGTTACTTGAATCACTTACATGATCTAAATTCCCTAAAATAGTGACTTCATTGTCTACTTTAGATGGATGATTGATTTTGTACATTTGCGAGCTGTTGTTGTCGCACAAAATGATTTTTTTGATAGCGTATTCTTTCAAAGTGCTGCGGTCTTTTACAAGCATAACTTCGCCGCAAGAGCCTCGGCCTAAACGGCGCACATTGGCATATTTGCTCAACAAATCGGACGGCAAAAAGTCAGGTTTTTCATTGCCGTGACTTAAAAACTTGTAGATTATTTGGTGCGGAGTCGATACTGCGATTTCGTCTTTGTCAATGAGGATTTTCCTATAGAAGATTTTTATTAATCAATTTGTTATGTGTGTTATACTTAATTACTTTTTGTTAGTTCCAATTATCTCTCCGTTGATGTAAGTGCCATTTTTGCTGAAATCTGTGACGTAAACTAAATTGTCTTTTAAATTTCGCTCGATTGTAAAATGCTTTTTGGATATGTTTGGGAGTAGGCCGGGTGGACAGTCTTTGGCGGGTACGATGACGTCGCAGGCGCTGCCTCTGCCAAACGTCACTGATTGGATCAAATCTGAGGGACAGAAAAAAAAAATCTTCTGCTTTAATTTGAACCTAATTACGTTAAGATCGGATTGAAAGTAACTAAGTTGTGAGGCAAAATGTTAAGGTCACAATTCCATTCAAAACTATGAACACCGGACGCCTGTTGGATTAAAAAATGCTTCTGCAACATTCCAACAATTAATGGATGACGTGTTATCCGGGTCTCTAGTGAAATTCAAAGATTTGCTACTTATTCTTTATGGATTTATTTGTGCTGAATTTTCTTGAAATCTGGTTTGATATGTTGACTGTCCCATAGTTGTCACAAATTATGATTCATACATATTCTTTGTTTAACCCATGGGACTCACGGAATTTTATTTGAAAAAAAAAAATTATAGTATATCCTATCCCATATGACTGTAAAACCAAAATATTAGAAATAAATTACCTCTTGTTTGGTCCTTCACCTAAATCATAAAGTAAAATGAAGAAATTGAGAGAATTTCATCAAAGAAAATGAATCTCTACACAAAAATAGAAAAATTTTTCTTTTTAAATTTGCAACAAGTGTCCCTTCAAATAAAAATATCTACTATTTTCTTTAAAATCCCACATTTTTAGCAAATAATTCCTAGGTGGTTGACCTTTTGAAATTTTAACTATTATGGGCTCTTGAGGACTCTCGTTTTGAACTAAATTTTAATTATTGGCTTTTTTTTTGTGAAGAGTTTGAGTTTGTCCAATTGAAAAGTCTGAATTACAACTGGAGTTTTCTGAAATTCAGTTGAGATTTTCTAAATATTAAATGAAATTTTCTGAATTACATTCAAAAAATCTGAAATACAAATGATATTTTCTGAATAACAGTTGAAAAATCTGAATTAAAAGTGAAGTTTTCTGAATTAGGGTACATTCGAAAAAAGTGTAGATGACTTAACATTTGTGTATGCAGATGCAGATTACAAACCTATAATTATGGCATCAGTAATTTGCTACTTAAGTCACTATTTTACAATTCCATGTACATACACCCTGCAGGAGGTATCCAAAGTTCTTCAGGGAAATCTTGGGAGATTTGGGAGATACTACAGAAAAATCTGAAGGAAATCTGGGGAGATTCAGGGAAATCTGAGATAAATCTTAATGAGTGAGACTGTGCGCACATTCAGAATTTAATTTTCTATTGATTGAGAATATTCTAGAGTAGGTATATCATTTTACCTAGCTTTCCTCTGAAATGAAAATATCATGCCTTATTCAAGGGGTAGACACGCTGTGAATTATGGTGTGCAAAAACAGGGAATTATTGGAAAATATGTAGGAATTGTTTGAATTCAACAGGCATTACTTAGGTGTCTGCAAAATATGTTTAAATTGAAGTTATTCATTGGGAAGTTAATGTTTAGTTTAGAGCATCAGCTTCAAAAAGCACTAGTTTCTGATTAAAAATCATAATAGAAAACTAGAATATGCTGGAAAATCCATATGTAATTAGTTTTTAAATTTTTAGGTTAGTTCCTTTCCCTACATAAAACAAAGTTGGAACAACAGAACCAAAACTCTCCAAGTCTTTTTGCCTTTCCAGTCTACTGTTATAGTTCTAAATGACAATTTGTTGAGCTTCATTATAAGACCAAGGCAGAAAAGTAGATTAATAAAAATACCGGATAGTAGATCTCTGCTTGTCATTTGTATTTTGTACTTTTATTTGTGTTTTCAGCTTAACAAATAACATGTAATATTGTTTAGCTAAGCTCTGTTTCCAATTCAGACCTCTTTATGATGACTTTCTTAAATGATCTCTAAATTTCTGGGAATTGTGAGGAATTATTAAGTATTGCTAGGGAATTGTAAGGCATTGCTGGGGAATTGGGGGAATTAGGTGGAAATTCAAATTAATTCCCCAATTCGGTATTGTGGTGTACAAAAATTGGATCAGTGGTTGGATATCGTAATAAATGTAGCTTCGATATTATCGGGAAAGTAATAGATGAGAGTGAGAGAATGCACATGTTGTATTATGGAGGAGACCTTAGAAATTGTTTTCTGTCTTTGCACTTGTGTTGATATTCTATGAATTCCCTGAAAAATTAGGGAGATCTGTATGGAAATCTGAAAAACCTTAGGGGAATCCACAGGTAATGTGGAAAAATCTGTGGATATCTTTTGCATAAAGATATCTTTTGTAGGTAGGTACACAGAGTGACTGTAAATTTGGCCCTTAATCCTTGTTAAATAACAAAAACCTTAGATTGGGCCACACAAAAACAATATCATATAGACATTGACACAATCTAAGGTTTCTGTTAACTAACAAAGACTTAACAATGATTGATCTAGCTGCACTTGAATAGACTTTTTGGAATTTATTTTTTTTTGCTCAGTACTTTCATACTATTTGTAATCTATTAAGCAGCCAAGTAGCTCAGAGATCTTTGTAAATATAAAACTAGTATTGCAGCTTGGATGTCTACTTTTTTGTCCTATTTCTGGTATTAGGAGTATCAGGTATGTGGGTGACTAGCAATGGAAATAATTTGAGGGTTTTTTTTTATAGACAAAAAGGCATGTAAAAGCATCTAACATTGGGTATTTCTTTAGAATATACAGGGGCAACAATAACACAAACAAATATCAATGTATTTACCTAAAAAAATAGAATAAAATCTTACCAATAGAATGTAAACATTTAATGCAAGTAATGAGCCGGCCCCATGGTATTTCGTTGACCAAATTAACGTTGTCTTGCTGAGAATGAGAGGAATTTTGTGTTGGCGGTGTAAGAGTGTTCGGCAGCTCATCGTCCTCAGACATTTTGCCAGCAAAAATTACTTAACAACTGACACCTGGTAAAAAAAGGAAATATGCATAAAATGAACCATAAAAACTGTATATAATATAATGGAGTTAAAACAAAAAACATGTATATTATTATAAATAAATGAAAAATAACACTCTTTTTGTTTGATTTTCGAATTGAGGTTATGTTAAGGGGGTGGCTGTCAAGTGTCAATGTTGATATAAGGCTAATTCGTTTAATTACCCGATAAATTTGCTATCTTTGTTTAATGCATAAGAAATGACAAAGAGAGTGCAGCAATGAAGAAACCGAGCAAAACTCAACGTCACATGTCAAAAATTAGTCCAAATAATGAAAATGGCTGACAAGAAGAGGAGCAAGAAGCGAAAAGATGTAAGTTTTTCCTTTAAAAAACTTATTTAAATTATTTATAATTATTATTAACAAGTTGTTTATTTAAAGGACATTTTATAATTGTTATCAGGATTTTTTTGTGTTGCTTCAATCACGAGTTATCTTTAAAAATATGGTACAAAACACTCTGACACAAAAAAAAAAATGACGTTGGTACTTTATAAATTAATAAAATACCATTAATTTTTATCTAATTAAATGCGCAAATTACCCTTAACAATAACACGTTTTTGCTGTTCAAAGCACCGTTAAAATTTAACGGTGACAACAAAGGAATTTGCATTTAATTCCTTGCCAAAATTAGAATGGTATTAATAGGAATTCTTCTACAATATTTCAAAATTATTGCCAACAGGATTATGTGGGTCCCGGAGAAGAAGTTCCAAACAAACCCACTAAAGAGGAGTACGGCATTGCGAAATGGATGAGGAAAAATGTTCCCATTAAAAGGACCAAGTTTTTGAATCATAATGTTGAATATTTTACTGGTACGTATACAGTTAGATGATAAAAAGTTGCATTGGTAGCAATATTAAATTGTTTTTAATTATTGTGTGATACAATTTGTGTATTAAGATTTAAAAATATGGATAAATTTTGATTGAAAAGTTGGAGAGTTTTTTAGGATGATCTACTGAAAACTTACTTATGAGATGTTGGATTTTTCCACTTCTCAAACTTTCTCAGACTTCTTCCCACTTTACTGGATTTCCAGAAACTTTTTCTGTACTTTCAGGGGTGTAGGTGAAGATTTCCAGCTTGATTTTCTCAAGGAGGAAACAATATACAGGGTGTCCCAGAATATGTGGGCAATCTCTCGGATTCAGATAAAACACAAAAAAATAACATGACAACTTCCTATAAAAAAAAATTCCTACGGCCCCCTCTATGAAGTTACGTGCCCCTAAAGGACACCTCTGAAAATCGTTTTTTTTTTGATAACTTTCAAAATCGAGTTCAAAATACTTTGTGTAATTTTTTTTTTCTTTTAATATGATGGATACTAGATAAGACCTCTTAAAATGGACTCTTTCAAACACACTTGGCCAAACTAGCTTTAACACAATAATGTTAATTTTTTTTACACCCTGTATGATATAGGCATAGCAATAATATTTTTAGATGGTTTCAACCTTGAACTAGAAAAAATGTACTCTTATTCGATGTCAAAAAAATGAGCTGGTTTCGAGAAAAATCTGTTTTTGTGTATTAATGGTTTTTTATTAAATAATTTTTTATGTCTACTCAACATGAGATCCTTCTAATCTTATGCATTCGATACCTATTTTAATAAAAGATTGTTCGACTCTCGACAATGCTTCAATATTAGCCCTTATTTCGCGAAAGTGAAAATTAATCCTTTCTACTAATATTTCCTCAGTTTTATTATTGCGTTAAAGCTAGTCCGTCCCTGGCAAACCAGATTGGTCAAGTGTGTTTGAGAGGGTCCAATTTAGGGGGTCTTACCTAGTATCCATCGTATTAAAAGAAAAAAAAATACACGAAGTATTTTGAAAGTTATCAACAAAAAACCGATTTTCAGAGGCGTCCTTAAGGGGCACGTAACTTCGTAGAGGGGGCCGTAGGAATTTTTTTTTATAGGAAGTTGTTATGTCATTTTTTTGAGTTCTATCTGAATCTGAGAGATTGCCCACATATTCTGGGAAACCCTGTATATCTTATTTTGTATAGGTAATTGCTATTTCCTTGGGTTTTACCACCACTTCACAAACTTTCTCAGTTTTCTTCCCACTTTCCTGGATTCCCACAAACCTTTTCTGTACTTCCAAGGCTGTAGGTGAAGATTTCCAGTTTGATTCCCTCAAAGAAAAAAGATTTTCAGGATAATTTTCTAAACACATTACTTGTGAGGTGAGGTGAGATAACTTATTAAACTATAATATATCCTTGGGTTTTACCCGAGGTTTTACCACTTCTCAAATTTACTCAGTTTTGTTCCCACTTTCCTGGATTTCCACAAACTTTTTCTGTGCTATAGATGAAGATTTCCAGCTTGATTTCCCCAGGTTTTAAAATCCAGTGGGTTTTTTCAATTGATAAAACCCACCATTAGTGGGTTTTTTTCAAAAATAGCAAATTTTCAGTTGAATGAGCGGCATTTTCACAGAAAATATCAGGGATTGCCTGATGATTCCCCAATCCCTGGCTGTTCACTGTTGGCGTGGAGGCCTGGGCAGATGTGTAGAATTCTAGATGACACGGAGTCTCTGAGCTGGCCAGCCAGAGGCGCGGTGCAGTGCACTGATGCCAAGTGTAATTATTTATATCAAGTGGTTTGCTCTATTTTATAAGGATATATATTTTTTTTTGCAACAAAAGTGATAATTTTTGTAATACTTTGGCTAGAGCAGAAATTATAAATTTCCCGAAAAAACCCAAAAAGACCTATAAAAACCTAAAAAAATCCGACGGGTTGGACTTTTTCAAAAAAACCCAGGTTTTTTTCCAACCCTGCTAATTAGAGATGGGGTATATATTATTTTGTATAATCAAGATATTTTAAACCATATTTGATTGGATTTCTTCACTTTCTGGACTTTCCCAGACTCCTTCCGACTTTTCTGGATTTCCACAAACAGTCTCCACAATTTCAGGGCCTTAAGTGAAGATTATCATTTCCAGCTTGATTTCCTCAAAGAAAAAGGATTTTCAGAATAATTTTATAAACACTTACTTGTAAGATGAGATAACTTATTGAACTATATTTCCTTGGGTTTTACCACTTCCCAAACTTTCTCAGTTTTCTCCTTGGGTTTCCACAATTTTTTTCTGTAAGTACCTACTTTCAGGGCTGTAGGTGAGGATTTCCAGCTTGATTTCTCAAAGGAGGAAACACAAAATTCGTACTAATTAGGAGTAGGTATATTTTATTTTGTGTAATTAAAATGTTTTGAACCCTATTTTGTGATTCAAAATTGCTCTATGCATTTGTTTTCAGATTAAACATTGATCTATTTTTTTTTTCAAAAGACCTAGTAACCTGATGCATGCAATAAATCTGGATCTTCAGCAAAAAAATAAAAGAGATGTTGAGTCAAAATGTTCGGAAATTGTAGCTCTCATTAAGTTCTAAAATACTTGTATTAGAAAATATTTTCATATACAGGGTTGGGCATGAAAAATTTTCCACCCAGAGTTTCTTAGGTGTCAGGTGTTTAATCAAAAATCGCTCAGACACGTCAATTTTTGTTTTTTGGGGACACATTTTATTGGTATTTTTACCCCCTACCTGTCAACCCATAAGTGGGGATAACAGGTACCCCCAAAATTTCATATGGAAAAAGGGTTCAAGTGTGAAATTGCCAAGCAACAAAGTTTCATATCAGTCGAAAATTTTGCCAACAAAATTTTTGCTCTTGTGGTATTATAGGCCTGTTCGCACAGAAATCACCAACCAGTCAGAGCGAATTTCATTGGTTGAAACTAGTTTTCTGACTGTTTCTGATTGTTTCCAACCAATGACATTCGCTCTGACTGGTTTGTGATTGCTGTGCGAACCAGGTCTTATATATGAGAAAATTGAGTTTGAAGTTTATGAATAAAGGACCCCGCAATATTTAAATGGAAATTGGTTACCCGTGATATTTGGATGAAATTTGAATATGTTATTGGGGATGCCGTAAGCAACATTTTTTATCATGGGCACAACCCTGTATATATGACAGGTGAGGCGTGGTTAGCTGTCAAAAGCAGAGTGACTATGGCAGAATTTGACGAACGAAGTATTGATGTCGACCAAGTTGAGTCGAAAAATGTCAACCATTTTGACAACTGTCAAAACCCTGCCAAACGACAGCACTCATCTTTTCGCGTTAGGATGTTATTTGACATTTTTAACTTGTATGTAAATTCTGAATTCAAAAATTGAAAAAAAAAAATGATGAAACTGTCAAAACCTGTCATTTGTTTTAGTAGTAAAAAATACTCTAATCTGTTTTTTTTTTTAGTTCAAGGTTGCGTATTGGTGATAAAACATTAGGTCAACAAAGTTCATGCATGTCACATTTTAACAACTGTCAGAATCTGTTAGTAGCTTTTTGGTTTATATTTAGTTAGTGGAGTTCAACAAAGGGCATAAAATTGGTTTAGTTCTATTCACTAAGCAAACAAACTCATTATCAACCGAAAAGCTATTAACAGATTCTGACAAGTGTCAAAATGTGACATGCATCAACTTTGTTTAATGTTTTATCACCAATAAATTACCTTGAAACAAAAAACAATTAGATTAGAGTTTTTTTTTCTACTAAAACAAATGACAGGTTTTGACAGTTCTGTCATTATTTTTAAAATTTTTGAATTCAGAATTTATATACAAGTTAAAAATGTCAAATGACATCATGAAATATTGAAAACTGGAAAAGATTAGTGCTGCCGTTTGACAGGGTTTTGACAGGTGTCAAAATGGTTGACATTTTGCGACTTTACTTGGTCGACTTAGGGTGAGTTCGGCTTGCTCACTCCGTGCACTCGGAGTGACTCCATTCGCACTCCAGCCGTTCGGGTATTGCTTTTTACGGTATCAGGGGTGACTCCATTAGCTCTGTTCACTCCACTCCAACTCCGCGCTGAATAGCAGAACTCACCGTTAGTAGAAATAGATTTTTTGTTCATCAAAATCTCCCATAGTTACTCTGCTTGACTGCTTTTGGATATAAGATTCCAATATTTGACAGCTAACCACGCCTCACCTGTCATATACACAGGGTTGTGCCCATGGGAAAAAATGTTGCTTACAGCATCCTCAATAACATATTTAAATTTCATCCAAATATCACGGGTAACCAATTTCCATTTAAATATTGCGGGGTCCTTTCGACTAAAGTCCAACTTTGAGGCTCAATTGCTCAAAAAGTATTTGAGCTGTCAAACTCAATTTAGCACAGATTTATAGATAATTTAATGCTCTTTCCAACGATGTATAATTTATTTTCATTTGCTCAAATGTTAATTGAGATATGAGCAATTTTTTCGAACCTTGTCTGGATTTGAAAAAAATTTCAGTTTTTGACTTATTTTTTAATTTCATTTAAAATTAAAAAGTCTGATAAAATCGAATGTTGTAGATAAATTTTTTCATGTTTTTTAAAGGCAAAAGAGCAGTGGACGCTCTTTTAGAGTCCAAATACGTAACCGCCGACAATGCCCTGTTCAAATCCAGAGAAGACATTGTCGACTACCTGCACTTGATGCTCGAACACAAATTTTACCATCGCGCCAGAAAAGTTCCAGTTTCCGAACAAGAGCTGAAAGGCAAAAGGAAGGAGAAAAAGAAAGAGCTGGAATCAGGCGACGAGGACAAGGCGGAAAAAGAGCACAACAAGGGAACTGACGCTGAAAGCAGTGTTGTTGAGAGTAAAGATGCTTTAGAACAAGTAAGAGAAGTTTTATTTATTGAATATTTTTTATTTAAAATTTGCCACTAGCCTCAAAAAGAAAAACGCAAGAAGAAAATCCGCTTGGAAATGCACAATGACCAACGTTTTGTTGACAGCCTTGACGCCTATGTTTGGATTTACGACCCAATTCCTTTTCACTATTGGATTTTTGGGGCTTTACTTGTTGTAGGTGCTATTGGTATTTGCATGTTCCCACTATGGCCTCCAGTTGTCAGGTATATAAAACCCATTGAAACTGATCCCAAATACATTTTTATTTTTTTAGATTAGGAGTATATTACATTAGTGTAGCAGCAGCTTGTTTCCTGGTTTCAATCATAGTAATGGCTGTAATAAGATTGATCTTGTTTTGCTTAATTTGGATGGTCACGTTGGGTAGGCACCACTTGTGGATTTTGCCCAATTTAACTGAAGACGTCGGATTCTTTGCCTCTTTTTGGCCTTTGTATAAGTACGACTATAAAGGGCCCGGGGCTCAGGGGGACAAAAAGAAAAAAAAGAAAAAGAAGGATAAGGACAGTGATGCTGAAGATGATAATGCTGAGAAAAAAGAGAGTTCTGAAGATGAACAAGAACAAGAGTAAGTGTTTTCAATAATTGTTATTGTTTTCCTACGAGCGTGCGGAAAACGCGTTTTCACGCACTGATTTGCGTGCGGAAAGTAGCACTTTTCCGCACTGCGTGTGTGAATTTTTTTTTACCGCACGGCCTGCGCAAAAAAAGTTTTTCACGCACTGATTTATTATTATTATTTTTTTCAATTTTTCTCTTTATGTCATGCTTCTCAAAAAATAAATAGTTAATTCGACTCAAAATAAAAATAATTGTTAATGTTCTGTTATCAAAATTATTGCGTTAATAAACTTAATTGAAAAATCATATTTTTGACCATTTGTTTTCTCAGTAGAGCCAAAAACAAACAAAAAAACAATGTGTCAATTTCCTCACGCTCGTAGGAAAAATGTTGTACCTAATACGAGCCTAAAGTATCTTTTTGCATCTTGATTGAATTTTTTTAGAGACATAAAAACTATTGAAGGAGCAAATTTGGATAATGAAGAAGTTGGTTCTGAGAGTGAAAGTGACACAAAATCCAGTACAGGGAAGGATTTTGAAATGGTTGATCATAAAGAACTTGAAGAGTCATAAAATAGTATTATTGGGGACTTTAGATTATTATTCATCAAGTTTGAGAAAAAATAAATATATATTCATTGCTATCGCACATTGAAGAATAACAAAATTTTGGATTTTATCATTAGCTAATAATTGTTAGGTAAATTATAATAATCTATAGAGGTCTGTTCGTAGAGAAATCACAAACTAGTCAGAAAACTAGTTTCAACCAATGACTGGTTTGTGATTTCTCTACAAACAGACCTTATATTATCTAGATGTGGTTTTAGGATAATGTTACGTTGATAAATTATTACAATATTGTTGAGAGATTATTGAAATGTTTACTGGACAACAATTTGGGGGTTTTCGAGGGTAGTTTTTTGGATTGTATATAAAATACACACACAAGTCCTAGTGGATCGGTTGCTTTCATTAGAATAAATTGCATTTATTTTTATTTAACAATTTTAGTATAAATTATTATTTATCTTATAAATAAAGGTAATTGTAAATATTTAATTTAGTTTTTCCATTACTTTTCTCAGCATTTGGTTGCAAAGGGCTGCATAGGGATTTAATTCGATTAACTGAAACAAAATATCATACGACCTATTTGGATAATACAGGTATTATTGTTATCACATAAGGTTTGTTTATGAGGTGTCAAAAAACAGTTTAGGCCCAATGAAATCGTGTTAAAACCAGATGACAATTGTTTAAAACAAACCTCCAGTGACTTCGATAAGTTTGTTCAGATCCAAAAAATACCTGGATTATTAAACAATAATTCTTACCTGACTTTTAGCAAATTTGCTACCCAATTCTGCTGCCTTTTCAAAATCAGCCCTTGCCAATTCAATCCTGTCGGCACGTTTATGAAGAACTCCTCTTTGACAATGAGCTTGACAAAGGGTTTTTTGATGGTGCTCCGTACACAAAGCTATTGCAGTTGTTAAATCGTCGAAAGCATCTTCAAATTGCCTCATATACTGATATACGTTTGCTCTGTTGTTAAACAGTGAAGGCCTTTTAGGAGCAATTTTAATTGCCTCATTCAATATATTGAGGCCTTTGTTTAAATCGCCCTTTTCTGCTACTTGAATAGCTTCAATTTCCATGGATTTTGTTGCCAAAACCTCCGAGGTACATTCTTCAGTGTCTTAAATAATTGTTAAAAAATAAGCTTAATAATTAGTTCAGGTGCCTACTAACCTTTTGGTTCATCCTTTTCACTAGCCTCACCAATAGGTAAGTTAGGATTAAAAACACAATTTAAAACGGCTTGATCGTGCAAGCTTAATTGCGACATTTCATTTGAATAAATAAAACACAATTTTGAGAAAACAATTTTATATAATAAAAATATTCATAAATATTTATACATACAAACAAGTTTTTATTGCCTTGTAACTTGAAATGCAAATGATCAACACCAAAAGATTTTCTTGTCGCTTGCCAATCGAACTTTTCCCGTCGCCAATAGTTTAAGAGCTCTAGGAAACGCTTTATGCTCGGCAATTTTAATTCTTTCAATCAAAGAATCTTCAGTATCGTAAATCTCGACTGGCACAGTTTCTTGTACAATTATGGCACCTGCATCTACATCCGGCTCTACAAAATGTACAGTGCATCCGCTTACTCTGACCCCAGCTTCCAATGCTTGCCTTTGAGCGTGAGTCCCTTTAAAGAGTGGCAGCAAAGCAGGATGTACGTTGATAAGCCTTCCTCTCCAATGCTCGCAAAACTCTTTGCTTAGAATTCGCATAAAACCTGCTAGGCAAACAATTTCAACTCCAGCAATAGCTAATTCCTTATCCATAGCCATATCAAAATCAACTCTGGATTCATAGTTTTTGTGGTTGAGCACAACAGTAGCTATTCCAGCTTTTTCGGCTCTTTTTAAACCTTCTACATTGGGGATATTTGAGATTACCAAAACGATTTCTGAGCCCATGTGCTGAGTGGAGTCCTGAGTTGCATCTATTAGGGCTTGCAAGTTGGTGCCACTGCCTGAAATCAAGACTCCTACTTTTTTCTTAGATTGACTCAGTTTAGAGATTAATTCTGGCACAAACGGGCGCATTGATTGTTCCAGGACATGAGTGAAGTTTTTTACTATTACTTGATCTGAAATAATGTTTTATATAATTTGCTGATGTTGGCTTAATTATTAATTACCTTGTTGCTTTTTTGTCACTCTTCCAATTATCGTAGCTCCATCAGATTGGATTAAATCCAAAATTTCTTGGCCATGTTTTGGGTTGGTGATTAAAATACCTCCTATACCACAGTTGAAGGTTCTAAAAAGATGCTTTGTTGAGCCAAAAAAAAAAGCTTCAAATTATTGTATAAGTACCTAAGCATTTCTGGTTCGTTTATGCCACCAGCAGTAGCTAGCCAAGAAAATACTGGCGGTATTTTCCAGGTTTCAGCGTCCAGTTCTACTGCTAAATGATCTGGCAATACTCTTGGGATGTTTTCGGTTAGACCTCCGCCTGTAATGTGGGCGAATGCCTTGACTTTTCCAGTTTTCACCGCTGGAATTACGGTTTTAACGTAGATTTTAGTTGGAGCTAATAATTCTTCACCTAGAACAAATATAACAATATTATTGTTTTTCTTTCTAGAGTTTTTTGAAAAATTATAAGAAATTACAAAATAAATCACAGGTTTTACATGCACACCTTGATAAAAATCAAAGTCGAAAAGCTTCAAAGCTCTGCAGCCGCAAAACTATTGAAGCTGCATTGAAAATACTTATATGAAGGATTTAATTAGCTTCATTTCAAGCCTAATTACGTTAAGATCGCATTGAAATTAACAAAGATGTGAGGTAAAATGTGGTTCAATGTCATTTTGGAAAAAATCAAGCTTCAAAAGACGACATTGAAAGACATTTTATTTTTTTTTTGAGAAAAGCAATTGAAGGATTGGCTTGAAATTTAGCAAGTAGATGAAGAACGGATTGAAATTTAAGGAAAAAAAAATAAAAAATTCCTTCTGATCAATCACCTTTAAGGAGCAAACCACCTAGGAATACATTGGCAAAATTGTGGAGAATTAAGAGGAAATTGGAGGAATATGTGGAAACCTTGAAGGAATTTATGGGAAATTTGAGAAATGTATGAGAAATTGGGGGAATTTATTGGCTTTAACACTCAAAGTAATAAAAAGAGAAAAATACATTTCTTATTACGCAGAATTTTGGTGATTTTTATGGAATTTGTAACACGCATTTGCAGAAAATTTGCGAGCAGTTTGGAGGAATTTGCAGGGAATTTAGAGGAATTTAGAAAAATTTACGGGTAGTTTGAGGAATTGTTTGCACAAATTCGAGATAGTGGTTTACCCCTTGGTAAATTTAGAACTCAAAACCAAATTGACTAGAACCCAATCAAGAACTGGGAATAGACAAAAATTGATTGGCTAAAATTTTATAATTTGAAAAGTCCACTTAGTCCTTACCAAAACTTTTCTTATTAACACTAAAAGGAGCTCTATCTTGATAACTAACTCCAGCCAACTTCATAACTTTCCGCACCAAACTGAACCCGTTACTGTGAACTCCCGAAGATGGCAATCCCAATATAACATCTCCCGCTTCTATTTTATTTATGTGTGGCATCAACTGGCCACGTTCAACTGCTCCAACTGAAAAACCTACGAAAATTCTATAGATTTTTGTCTCCAAATCAATAATAATTCTTACCAGCTAAATCATAATCTCCTGGCGGATACATGTCGGGCATTTCAGCAGTCTCTCCACCAATCAAAGAACATCCAGCTTGTCTACAGCCTTCAGCCACCCCAGTAACAACTTGTTTGGCGATATTAACATCTAAAGCCCCACAAGCAAAGTAATCTAAGAAAAACAGAGGCTCAGCCCCGTGAGCTAAAACATCATTAACGCACATGGCAACTAAATCAATCCCTATTGTTTCATGAAGACCCATTTCTTGAGCAATTTTCAATTTTGTTCCAACTCCATCAGTTCCAGAAACCAACAAAGGATCAACATACCCGGCTGCTTTTGTATCAAACAGCCCCCCAAACCCACCAAGAGCCCCCATTACTCCTGCCCTATTAGTCGACTTAGCTGCGGGCTTAATATGATCAACTAGCTCATTGCCCGCTGTAATATCCACCCCACTGGCTTTGTAAGTTAATTTTCCAGATTCAAGTATCGAGCTTGCAATGCCTTTATGCGCAATATCTCTTCTATGTTGCGAGCCTTCGAATTTAATTATTTCGCAAGATTTAGCTGCGTTAGCTGCAGCTGTAACTAGCTGAGGCCCCAAAGCAACCACAATCAATACTCTTCCTCCATTGGTTACAATATTGCCATCTTTAAATGCTGTTCCACATTGAAAAACCAAATGGTTTGGTTTGGAGTTTACAGTTTCAATACCTTTAATCACTTGGTTTTTAGTTGAAGTTTCTGGATAACCTTTCGAAGCCATTACAACTCCTACAGCGCTAACATTCTCCTTCCATTTTAATTGTTGAGATTCTAAAGTGCCATTGGCACAAGAGAGCATTATTTCAAATAAATCCGATTCCAACAAAGGCAGGATTACTTCAGTTTCTGGATCGCCAAAGCGACAATTGAATTCCAAAACTTTTGGGCCTTGTGGAGTGAGCATCAAACCTGCATATAATACTCCACAGTATTTGATGTTGTCTTTTTTGAAGCCTAAAAGGCTTTTTTCTAAAACCTGTTTTTGCACATATTGGTATTGGTCATTGGTTAATAAAGGACAAGGGCAATAAGCACCCATTCCACCAGTGTTGGGGCCTTCATCGTTATCAAATATACGCTTGTGGTCTTGAGCTGGCAGCATAGCTTTGATTGTATTGCCATCGCAAAATGCCAAAACCGAAACTTCTTCTCCTGACAGCAATTCTTCTACTACAACAGTTTCACCTGCATTGCCGTACTTCTTGTCAGTCAAAATTTCATCTACAGCCCTACAAGCTTCTTGGTTGTTTGCAGCTACAACTACACCTTTTCCAGCTGCAAGCCCGCTGGCTTTCACAACTAGAGCGGGAAACGGAGCATTTTCGATGAAATTTTTCGCTTGTTGTGCGTTGTTGAAGGATTTCCATTTGGCTGTGGGGATGCCGTGTCTGTCCATGAAGGCTTTGGACCAGTCCTTGTCGGATTCGATTTGGGCTGCGATTTTTCCAGGGCCGAATACTGGGATTTTTGCGGAAGTCAGTGCGTCTGCCATTCCGTTTGCCAGAGGGTCTTCTGGACCGATGACTACTAGGGATATGGAGTTGGTTTTACAAAAGTTGACGACTTCCTGTGGAGAATGGGAATTGAATCAGATATAGCTTTATTGTCAAAAGAATACATGATAATTTTCATTGACAAAGGTGGGACAAGATGGAGGTTAAATATGTATTAGGAATAAAATATTCAGTATAGGGTGGGACAATTTGGACACTTTTAATAGGAAACATCAATTTCTGAGCAGGATACAAAAAAATGAACCCCACACTCTGAGGCTCAAATTTCATGAAATTTTGATTGGTGCAAACCGCATTTTGATATCTTCAACCGTTTAGCCGCTAGAGGGCGATTCTCGATTTTGAGCAATAATGTGAAATCATCATAACTTTTTTGTTTATGATAATTATTGATTTCCGTAAAAACTTTCTAGAAGCACTTTTTCAAGCAGAATTCAGTGACGTTCTCAGTTTTTTTCTAGTTGGTCCCAACTTTGGACACCCTATATTTTAATAGCCCATTAGAAAGCTCTACTTTTTCTGATTTCAAGATGACAAAAACCGAAATAATTTTTTTTCTCGAAAACTGTTAGAGATAAACCTATCGAACTTTATATCATTGAAATCAAAAAAAGCAGAGCTTTCTAATGAGCTATTAATATATAGGGTGTCCTATTGAAAAAAAACCAAACTTTGGTCAATATCTCGAAGTTGGGACCAACTAGAAAAAAATTGAGAAGGTCACTGAATTCTGCTTGAAAAAGTGCTTCTAGAAAGTGTTTAAGGTAATCAATAATTATCATAAACAAAAAAGTTATGATGGTTTCACATTATTGCTCAAAATCGAGAATCGCCCTCTAGCGGCTAAACGGTTAAAGATATCAAAATGCGGTTTGTACCAATCAAAATTGCATGAAATTTGAGCCTCAGAGTGGGGGGTTCATTTTTTTGTATCTTGCTCAGAAATTGATGTTTCCTATGAAAAGTGTCCAAATTGGCCCACCCTGTACACTGCAATTCGGAAAAGAAAATTGTTTAAATCTAAGGGTGGTTTAAGGGGGTTAAACTAATAATTGCAATTCATCGAAAAAAGGGTTTTTGTGAAATTATGGACATTTCCACTCTATAGTCTTGGGCACACATTTCCACCCTAGTCTCAGGCACAAATGATACAGGAAGTTATAGGCAGTACCAATATACACCGTTTAGGGAACCTCACTTGACTTGCAAACTACTTTGAGGGTGGTTTAAGGGGGTAAAACTAATAATTGCGATTCATTGAAAAAAGGGGTTTTGTTAAAATGGACATTTACACCCTGGGTACAAATGGTACTGGACTGGAAGTTATAGGCAGTATACCGATATACACCGATTGAGAAATCTCCCTCGACTTGCAAATTACTTTGAGGCGCATTATACAGGGTGGGCACGAAAAACTTCCCATCCACATTTTCTCAGGTGTTAAGGTGAGGTGATTATTCAAAAATCGCTCGGACTCTTCAATTTTTGTTTTTTTGAGGGACACATTTTAATGATATTTTCAACCCTTACTAATCAACCTCTAAACGGGGGTGACAGGTAGGTACCCCCAAAATTTTAAATAGAAATGGGGGTCGAGTAATAGATCATTTGATAGCTAATTTTATTGAGATTATATCCTCGAAATTTCAAGTTGCTGTTGTTCAACCTGCCGAAATGGCGGCTTGTCAAAGTTAGGAGAAATGCTTTTCTTCGAGTATCTGAACTGAGTGATTTTTACCTTATAATAACAAAACAACAGATTTTTTAAGGGTACCTATTCATAGTAATAGAATAACATTGTTATTTAATTTAGTTATTGTCATTCAACAGTTCAGTCCAAAATGCGGTTCATGTTTATTCACTTAAAAAATTGTTTTGTTATTATGAGGTAAAAACCACACAACTTTGACAAGCCGCCATTTCGGCAGGGTAAACAGTAGCAACTTAAAACATTGAGTATATAATCTCAAAAAAATAGCTATCAAATGACCTATCACTCGACCCCCCTATCTATTTGAAATTTTGAGGGTACCTGTCACCCCCGCTTAGAGGTTGATAGCTAGGGGTTGAAAATACCATTAAAATGTGACCCCCAAAAAACAAAAATTGATGGGTTCGAGCGATTTTTGAATAATCACCTAACACCTGAGAAAAACTGGATGGGAAATTTTTCGTGCCCCACCCTGTATTGCATCTCCTACACGAAAATCGACAATTACGAGACGTAATTCCCGCATGGCAACAGCTATTCATGTCAAAAACTCCACCAATGCAGGTTCATTTAGGATGCATGTTTGCCAAAGCCTGACAATAGGGTGGGTCTTAATGAATCAGAAACCTACAGATTTTTGAGTTTTGCAATTTATTTGATTTTTTTTCAAAATAGTCAACCAGAAATGCAACATTATTTGCAACTATTGATTTGATAATTTTTTCAAGAGGTAGAAAAACATCGTTTTCCGCACTTGTGCTTCAATAAGAATCACCCTACTAAACTGAACTTCAAACAATCTCAATTGAAAAACCTGCAAGCAAAAGATAAAAGTATTGAAATCCCACTCTTTAAAATCATTAAAACGCGCCAGATGATCGATGAAGTAGATATATAAGCATAATCTACCAATCAAATTTAAGAAGAGTGCTCCAGCGGCAAAGCTCAAAAATCGTAAAGTAACAATAACTAACAGATCATCCTCATAAGGCGTAGATTTGCCAGTTCTCTAGTCGGCAGGGTCTTCGAATGACGTCATTACTATCAGCAGCTAATGGTGGTGACGACACCTGTAGACCTCGATGGAATGCTTGCGATTCAGACTATGCTCGTGAGAAAACTGTTATAAATACAAATTTTTAATGCTGACAATTAAGTGGCAACACTGGCAAATTGCAATTTGTGACGTATGGGACAAAAAGTTCGTGTTTTTATATAGGGTGTCCCACAATTAAGATTTTTCCCAAATGATAATTTCGGAACGCATCCTCGTATGTTCCACTATATAATTTTCTGTGATATCCCTTAACAAAGCCTTAAGAAATATGGCATTGCCGATTTCGTAATTTAATTTTTTAACAAAAAATGCCATAATATACTATGAGTTACATTTAAAATTCAAAAGTTGACGTCACTTGGCCGAAATTGAAGCAAAAATAGTGAAATTGGATGACAAGGGTAGAAGCGGCACAAAAAGTTACCTAGATCTAGGGTTGACAAACTATCGAAAAAAAAACTATCGATAGTGATATCGATAGAATGGCCTACCCATCGATAGTAACTATCGATTGTACTATCGATAGTTTGCTCTGACCAAAGTAACCAAATTTGTAATTAATTACGATAAACATTAACCTCCAACCTCCATTAGTCCATCAAAGTCACTCGTCATTAGGCAATTCAAACCACGTGACATTCAAGATGGCGTGGCGGCCATACATGGGCCAAAAAACACAAAAAAAGTAGGGAGTGAATTCTGCGCCTACCGGTAGGTGCTGTTTGTTTCATTGATTGTGTGCCTACCGTTTATGTATACCGCGAAAACATTATGGTAGGTCCCCAATTGGCACATGATATAACGCCTATCGGTAGGTACTCTTTGTTGAAAGAATCCTGAGCCTACCGGTAGGTTCATATTAATTCAAGAATCCGTCGCCTACCCTACCTATCTAACCTAACTATACCTGCATTTACAAGAAGGTGACACTCGTCGCCCTAGTTGTGAATGGTCGTAATCCACAAAATGTTCATTCTTGAGTTATTAACACTGTTGTTACTGTTAACATACTTAAAAATGTTTAAAGTTCATGTTGGCGAATAGATCTAAGCCAGTGATCAATATTTGACCTTATTTGAAAATTATTTTCCAAGTTTTTGGTGGATTTATGCTTCCGAGGATCTTATCTTTGAAGTTTGGCGAGCGGAGCGAGCAATCAGAGACTTAAAAATGATTAAAATTTCAAGATGTTATATTTAATAAAGGTTTTTCACGTTTTTGGTGGATTTGCGCTCCCAAGGATCCTCTCTTTGAGGTTTGGCGAGAGTAGTGAGCTATCGAAGACTCAAAAACAAACTCAAGGTGTGTGCAGAAAGATTTTCAATATAGAATATAGGTTGCCATCTAGCGAATGAAGCAGATTCGAAACATCAACAAGTTTAAAGCCCAAATTGGAAAAATGTTAAGATACTAATAAAGGCTTATGTGGACGAATTTCTTAATGACTATACTATTACTAACAAACAATATTTTACCAACGTATTTAGCATTAGCAAGAGCTGACTGGTAGGATATAGGATATACGGATTCTAAAGTAATAAAACACCTTCCAGTAGGCGCTTGATCACTTGACGAAAAAGGACCTACCCTACCAGTAGGCGCACAATCGGTGGATAAAAAAGGACCTACCGGTAGGCGTAGGATTCACTCCCAAAAAATTATCTAGTTTCTGTCCGAATTAATAGTTTAAGTACCTAGTTAACAAATATTTCATTAAATAATGAAAATCATAGTTGTAAGCAAATTTCTATGCAAAATAATTTAAAATACGCATAAAAACATATTCAAAACAAACTTGCTTGGCCGCCACGCCACATTGAATTTTCCTTTTTGACAGATGGATTGAATTGCCTAATTCCTCCTAACCGAAAAATTGGCAGCACAGCATGTCTATCCCCAAAAATAATTACAGATTTCTCAAAAAAACTACAGATTTCTTTATATTTCCCTCAATATACAGATGTTTTCATTTACCTTTGGCTACATTGGAACTATCGATATTGGTACAGGTCTATCGATACTATCGAAAATTGAAAAACTATCGATAGTATCGATATCCCTATCGATAGTTTGTTATCCCTACCTAGATCCTCAAAATTTCAATTATATTGGATAACGCGTTCCGAAGTTATCACCTGGGAGAAACGTCGTGGGACACCCTGTATGTATAGAAATAGTTTTCTTCTTTATTCATTTTTTCAAAATGGACTCTGAATTTTTCAAAAGTACGGGAACACACAGAAAAATTCTACATACAATGGTACCTATTACTTTATCCAATTTCAAAAAAAATCAATTCCTGATACATTTTTAACCTTAAAAAAGAAACAATTTTTACCTGAAAATCCTTAATATTCAAAAGGACATTTTTGGTTCGGGGTACATTTTCAATTCCGGAACTACCTGGAGCGACGTAAATATCCTTGACTTTTTTACTCTGAGCCAGTTTCCAGACGATGGCGTGTTCTCGACCGCCGCTGCCCACAACCAAAACGTTTTCTGATGCCATTCTATTTCTGATGCTAGAAAAATAAACTTCTTCTTCTCAGAACTGCTGAGTATTAAATGAAGTAGTTACACAAGTTTATTTTTCAAAAAAAAAAAAAAATCAAAAAGTGTTTGGCAACTACTTGTTGATTCCATGTGAGGTTGTGTGTGAAGGAATCAGCTGATAACCTCCCGCAAAGAAATTATGTATTTCGAGATAGATTTCGTCAATAATAGGTCGGAGGTTATCGTAATTAATTAATAAAAACATCGATAAATGGTTAATTGCATAATAATTATTATTTGTATGGATTATTTCAAAAGTTTAAATTTGAATTTTTAAAAGGGCGACATCTATTAAGGAGTCGAGATAATAAGCCATACTTATTGTATTGTAGAATTTCTATTCTCACCAACCTTTTTTAAAGAAATTTCTTATACAAATCATTGAATTAATCATCAAATAAATAATCTAGTAAGTAAATTCAAAGATTTTAAACAAAATAAAAGGTTTTATGTGAAAATATTAATTTTTCAATTGGCGCCATCTCTATCAAAATCGAAGCACATTATTTTAAATTTAATGGTAAGCTCACTGATATTGATAATTGATTGGTTTTAATTCATCAAATAATGAATTAGTAACTGAATTGTTCATAAGAATAAAGTTTTTATACAAGGAAAAATAAATAAAACAAACAAAATTATAATTTTTCAAGTGGCGCCATCTACCAACATTTTTGTTGGGCTCCAATAATAAAAATTATATTAATTAATAATCGATTTGTTTGATTAATCAAATAGTAATTTATTAAGTGAATTGTTTATAAGAATAAAGTTCTCATAAGGAAAAATTAAACAAAACGTTTTATAATTATTTATTATTTAACAAAATATTAAATTTTTAAGTGGCGCCATCTGTTAAAATCAAAACACACTACTTTCATTTAATATATTGCCACACTAATCAATCAATCTAATTAATTATTAATAAATAATGATTGATTCATTTATTAATAATAATAATTAAATTGTTTATATCTATTAATAGGTTTGAAGGAAAACATTCAAAAGGTTTTATTGGGAAAAAAAAAATGATCAATTTTCGAGTTGCCTCGCCTCAAAATGAACACACAAACGGAAGTGGCCCTTGTTGATCTTGTTACGAGCCTTTTTAAAAACATTTCAGTCTATTTCCATCTTTATTATATCTATTTAAATAAATAGCGACAGAAAATGTCGCTCCGAGTGGCCGTAGTGTTGTAGCAACGCGCCCATCTAGAAAATGAAATAATGCGCACGCTTAATAAAACAAGCAAGCCATTTTGTCACAATATTTTATTTTTGTTGTTGTGATGATGGATTTGATTTGCCACAGTTATTTAACAATTTATTTCGTTCAATAATAATTATTAATTAGAAAAATGTTACTCTAGAGTAAAATTCAGTGAAATAAATTTGCACCAGAGTGAATTATTGACAATCGAGTTGCCGCCGGATAGATTTTCTCTGTCGTTGTTTGCAATGCAACGTTGTCCAGTCTACGGCTTGAATTTTCTGCGTTTTCTTGTGTAATTTGAGCATTTTCCGGGTGAAAATTGTATTGAAACCAACCAGAAGGCTCCAAAGAGGTAAGCAATGCTTTAATTTTCACCATAAATAGGCCTAATTTAGTACAAAAAGCATGAAAAGTATTGGCATCAATCGGCCCAATATGGCTACCGTCGGAATCGGTAATGTAAATCGTCAATACATTTATTGAAGTTTGCTGGTAATTTTCGCAATAAATTCCTAGGTTTGGGTCATTTATTTGATACAGCATTTAATAAACTTTAATAAAAATGCTTCATTTTAGAAAAATGATTTTGTAATTCGACGAAATTTCCATAAATCCCAGCCAGTGCGGTTTCCGGCGGGGATTGATTCGTTTTTTGCGTTTCCCGTCGTCACTCAGTGGCGGGTTTTAAATATCAATGTTTTAAACCGCATATTATTCGGTTTTTAACGAATCGCGGGCAATTATTTACGGTTTTGTTGTCTTTCAGGAACAGCCAACAGGTTTTATGATTGTAATTTATTCATTTCGAATTTTTTTATAAGGAGGTGTGAATGTTGGGCGGGTGACTATTTATATTATATATTTTGTGTAGTTATTGAATAGGCAATAATAAATTTATTCCTATTTCTATTTACCTTTTGTTTTATTAACTTCCTATAAATGGTTTCAGGTAGGTAAATATGAGACTATGGTCTATGGAAAAGTCTAGGACATTTTCCTATAATTACTGCATATTCTTTGATGTATTTGTATTTTTTTTCTAGGTATTTTCTTCATTTTTCTGTTTATTCCAGGCTCTTGAATTTTCTTCATTTTACCTAGAACCGAGCCTAGAACAAAAAAAGTACACGGTTGAAACTTATTTAGGTATTGATTCATTAGAAGAGAAGTTTTATTTGAATTTCTTCTAAGAAATTCTTATATCAGAGATACAGATTTTTATTTTTAGACCGGGAATTAGACGGATATGAGTATGCAAAATGTGAGGACCGGCAAAAATGCTCAAAATCGTATTCCTGTGATCCTGAAGAATGGGAAAGTACATCTTGCCGGCAGCTGAAGTGGTCCCTAACTCTCCTGTCATCCCCCAATGCAAAGTTATATGAAAAATATCACAATTTCAAGTCATTTCACAATAATTCCTATTGATTGTACCTAGGCTTTCATTTCAAGCACTCAAAATAAATTACCTTCCACTTGTTGGATATCTTTGCAATTCTGCTCAAAAATATACATAAGTAAAAGAAGACTGCAAGATGTACAGAGGGTCATCCAAGGACAACTGAACAGGGACTCATTTTTGACCTTCCCTGTTCCTGTAGTTTTAAAAAAATTCAAAATAGCCATTTGGCATTCTTTTTTCTGGAGAATTAAAAAATGGTAAAAAAAATCATTTGAACCAAAACTCTTTACACCATGGGTGAACTGTTTTTCAAATTAAACATCCTGTTTTTTGAATGATTTTGGGAAAAGTCCTTAGACCGAAAAGTCACATTTTTTACATATATTCTGTTGAAAATATTCGATATTTCGCTGTTTTTATTTTATTTTAATGTTTTATGCTTAATAATTTTAGCTTTTCCTTTTCAATTTAATAGGCTCATTGGTGATAGAGATATTAGCACCTTTTGTTCCAAAGTCAAAAGAAAGGACCCCGCACACTTCTCATGGGATTTCTGACCACGGTCAAATTTAACCAAATTTTAGTATGTTATAGATCTCACCTTTCTGATCAATAACTCTCATTGCCACAACTTAATCCTATGACTAGTTTCTGAGATACAGGTAGTTTAATGTCCAAGAAATGCACACATTTTATATGCATTTACATCTATCTGTCACCTAAAAATGCCAGGGGGGGTTTATTTGAAATGTGCAATTCAAATTCGTCCGACTAAGTCGCATTTTTTAGCATTGAAATACCGGCAAAAATTGCGACTTAGACGTATTTGAATTGCACATTTCAAATAAACCCCCCCAGGATGGACAGATATCCTCACGCTCAGGTGACAGGTAGATATGAATGCATATAAAACGTGTGCATTTCTTGGATATTAAACTACCTGTATCTCAAAAACTAGTCATAGGATTAAGTTGTGCCCATGGAAGTTAATGATCAGAAAGGTGAGATCTATAACATACTAAAATTTGGTTAAATTTGACCGCGGTCAGAAATCCCATAAGAAGTGTGCAGGGTCCTTTGACATATTTTGTCAAAATCACCATAGAATAAGCCATCACAGTTATATTGAAAAGGTGAAGCTAAAATTATTAAGGATAAAACATTAAAATAAAATAAAAATAGGTACATATCGAAATATCAAATATTTTCAAAGAAAAAGACGTTAAAAATGCTACTTTTCCAGAAATTATATAATAAACAGGGTGTTCCATTTAAAAAACAGTTCATCCATGGCTCTTTGGTTAAAATAATTTTTTGGTACCATTTTTGAATTCTCCAGAAAAAAATGTGCCAAATGGCTATTCTGAATTTTTTCAAAACTACAGGAACTGGGAAGGTCAAAAATAACCCCCTGTTCAGTCGTCGTTGGATGACCCTGTACATCTCGCAGTCTTCTTTTACTTATGTATATTTTGGAGCAGAATTGCAAAGATATCCAACAAGTGGAAGGTAATTTATTTTGAGTGCTTGAAAAAAAGCCTTAGGTACAATCAATAGGAATTATTGTGAAATGACTTGGAAGTGTGATATTTTCCACATAATTTTGCATTGGGGGATGGCAGGAGAGTTAGGGACCACTCCAGCTGCTGGCAAGATGTACTTTCCCATTCTTTAGGATCACAGGAATACGAATTTGAGCATTTTTCCCGGTCCTCACATTTTGCATACTCAACTACTTATAGCGCCTGCTCTATTTTGGAAATAGAGCTAATTTTGTACCACTCCTATAAAACACCCTGTAGATTGAAATAGGATCTTTTTTTGAAAATTTCAAATAGAGCTTCTGAAAGCGGAAGGTAATAAAATGCTCTATAAAATCTCTAAATTTGGTCTCTACAGAGTGCCTTTGGTGTTTTTTCAATTTCCTATAAATGATTCATATCAGGGGGTAAACTACTCAAGGTAATCGGTGTATAAATTGGCCGCAATATGTTGGTAATACTTGAAAACATATGGTAATACTATTGATACTAAGTATTTCTTGCTCAGAAAATGTAAATTTCAGAGTCTTCAAAAGTAATTTCAACAAGATTCTTTCTCAGAAATAGAAAATGTAGATGTTCTGAGACTTTTAAGTCAATTTTTGTGTTCCAATTTCAAGCTCATAATCAAAACCTGAAAATACATAATTTAGAATGTCTGGATTTAGTTTCAACGATTTGTTCTCAGAAGTAGAAAATGTGAATATCAGAGTCTTTCAAGTCAATTTTAACAAGATTCTTACTCAGAACTAGAAAGTGTGGATGTTCTGAAACTTTCAAGTCAACTTTGTTCAAATTTCAAGCTCATAATCAAAACCTGGAAATCATTTAGAATGTCTGAGTTAGGGATGTCAATTTTTATTAAAACAACGGTTTTTCCATTAACCGGTTAATTTAGTAACAGTTTTAACTGCCCGGCTATAACTGATATAAAACACCGGTTATTCCGATTAACTGGTTGTTCGGTTATTTTTCCGAATTTTATCATAATAATTGCATTATTTATACTATAATGTAAAATATTTGAACAACAACATATCTTTATTGTAATAAAAAATCGGGAACTGTTACATGTTAAGAAAAATCATCAAAAAATACCTACACTTTTCTTCTCTTCTATGTCTATCAACTTAGCGAGACAACTTCGAAAAATCGATTTTCCATTATGCCAAGAATTTGCCGCTTTTTTGCCGCTAATTAAATGTGGAATTAAAAAATTTGCCGCTCTTTTGGTTTTTTCTTAATTACGTGTTTTGCTAACTTGACGTCAAGATAGCGAGACAACATCGCTAAATATGTCAGCACTAAAAAACTAGGTACGTGAAAATTTGCCGTTTTTTTGCCGCTAATTAGTTGTGAAAATCAAAAATTTGCCGGTTATTTTTTTTTCATAAAAAATAAAGTTTGAAAAAAAAAATCATTTGTTTCGCTAACTTGACGTCAAGTTAGCGAGACATTATCACCAAAAATGTCGGTACTGAAAAATTGAGTGAATGGGAATTTGCTGTTTTTTTGCCGCTAATTAGTTGTGAAAACCAAAAATTTGCCGCTTTTTTTTACAAAAAATCAAGTTTGAAAAAAAAAAAATCATGTGTTTCGCTAACTTGACGTCAAGTTAGCGAGACAATATCACTAAAAATGTCGGTAGTGATGAGTTGAGTGACTGGAAATTTGCCGTTTTTTTGCCGCTAATTAGATGTGAAAACTAAAAATATGCCGCTACCTTTCTTTTCATAAGAAAATCGTGTTCGAAAATAAAATAGTGTTTTGCTAATTTAACGTAAAGTTAGCGAGATCACTAAAAATGTCGGTAGTGATAGATTGAGTGAGTGGAAATTTGCCGCTAATTATCTCTTTTTCTACAAGAAAATATCGCGTTTGAAAAAAAATATCATGTATTTCGCTAACTTGACATCAAGTTAGCAAAACAGTAAACAGTATCAATAAAAATGTCGGTAGAAAATTTTATTCATCTGTCAAAACTGGTATTCGAACCATAAACTGGGCTCTGTGTCATTTGCGCGACAGTCGTTTGCGCGAGGGAGAAAAGCGCGATACTAAACACGCGAGGGACAAAAGCGCGACGGAACAAAAACGCGACTGCATAAAAGCGCGAGAAACAAAGGCGCGAGCGAGAAAAGCGCGAGAAACAAAAGCGCGAGGGACAAAAGCGCGACGGAACAAAAACGCGAGGGAAAAAACGCGACGGAACAAAAACGCGACTGGAGTAAAGCACGATTGGACAACAACGCGAGGTATCTAACTATCTACGAGGACTGTAAGCAAAAGAGGGACACATCAAATTGTATCAATAATATTCAGAAAAATGCAGCCTTACTCAAACTAACCCATACTAACCTGTTGCCCTAGTGCGATCTAGTCTTCGTTAAATAGAATTTTATTTGAAAA